AATCTCAAAATTTTAAGGCATTTTTTCCTCAAAATCAGAGGTTTTTTTGCTACTGCTCAAAAAAGTGCTTCAAAATTTTGTGTTATGATTATATTTCAGACACTTCATTCAAATGGTACATTGTTAAGGATTTTATTCATTATATTTTGACAAAATGCAATTTTTGTTAACATTTTAGTCAAAACACAATATTTGCCTTTTTCTACTGATAAAACTTTAAAATTTAATCCTTGTTTTGATGTGATGGATCACATATTATCTTTGAACATCCAGTCACATTTTGTTAAGAGGGAGAGTTGTTATAATCTGAAGGGATTAGAAATGTTTGTAAAACCTAAAATTCAAACACATTTAAAGGACAGATGTACTTCGGTCCAGGGAATAAGATTATGAAATAATCTGGACACCGACTGTAAAAATGCTGGTTCAAATAATTTGTTTAAAAAATGATAAAAATGAATTTGTTAAAGAAATATGAAATTGTAGTTTTTATTATAAGAGCTGCGGTTTTTGTCTTGTTTTACTTGAACTTTGTTGTTTGAAACTATATTTGTTTGTTTTTAAATTAAATGAATGGTTAAAAAAACAAATTATGTTCATGCTCAGAGTATCAGTAACACAAACACTACATTCAGTTTGTCGGACAAGTGTGTTGCTTTAAATAAGTGTAATGTTCAGACATGTGACTGTGGTGTAAAGTGTGTAATTTAAAAGATGTGTTAAAGACCAGGACAGCTCTGAGCTCTCCTCCTGACAAATACAGACCCTGTTACTGGTGGGATGGGAACTTCTGCCCACACAGGGTTCAAACCTGACAGGAAGTGTTACCTGACTGCAGGTACACAGGTGCACAACAAAACAAAGCAACTTCCTGACACACAGGTGTGACAGGTGAATCCATCACATACTGTATATAACTTATTTTACACCACTTTATGGGATCTGCCACTAAGTTTAGCTTAAAGTTAAGTTTAATCATTAAAAACCACAAACACTGCAGGCCACAATAAAACACTGAATTACTACTTTAACCTGTTAATAAACCTGACATCAGAGGACAATTAATGAATAAAGTCAGACCTTTACTGCAGATAAAAACAAGAAAATGATCAAATAATAAATAACTGGAATCTGTTAAACGACTTTTACAGCTTCTTTCTGGATCCTTCTCATAAATATATAACCTGTTTTATAATAATGCCGGGCAGAGACTGATGCGACTGACGTTAGCATGCTAACATTAGCCGCTATGCTAACTCCTTGTTTCCTCAGGTTAACTGGATGAATTCAGAGCCCATTTATGACAGGTAACCTGCTCAGGTAAGCGCTTTGGTCGCGTGTGTTTGCTCCAGCAGCACATTAGAGCCGGATAATACTCACTGAAGTCGTTGTTGTCTCAGAATGAATCCGTTTCTGCGCCTCGTTTCACCGCTTCGACCCACGCCGGTGACGCCGCTCTGCCAAGAGGAACGCGCAGATCCAGCGGACACGCCCATAAAAGCCTCCCATTGGTCAAAACGCACCAGTGCGTCAGAAAGGGAGATTCTTATTGGACCAGACTGCTGTCAGTCCTGGCCGTGCCGCCACAGCGGTGCTACTAACCTCTCTGCTTCGGCTGATGCAATGAAAGAGACGCAGGTGTCCGTTTATTTTTATTTGTTCTGATGAGTCACAACTGTGCTGAGAAATGTTTTTGTTGTTCTTACACCATTTAAAACAAAAACGATGTTCACAGATGTATTTATTACTCTTGAATTAATATAAAACATAAAACAATCGGCACTGAAACCTTTTAAAGAGTTTAAATGAGATATTTAATAAAATAATATATACATGACAGCCAGTAAAAACCCATGTTTTCCATTTGTTAAGTATTTCTTTCTTTGTTTCTGTTGTTCTCCTAATTTTTACTATTTAACATGTAAACAAAGACTGAAACATTAGCGGAACTAATCTTCTCTTGCTGTGGTTCCGCGGGGACCTGTTTCCGGGCGGAGCATCGCTTCATCATGCCCACAGACACGAAGCGTGTTCGCGGTCCTGAAGTGTCTCAGAGCCCGGTTCTGTTCGGGTGCAGGCCCGCAGATGTTCCTCCCTCGCACGGCCCCCGAGCGGACGGCCGTCAGCGGGACCAGGTGGACGTCCGGCCGGTGTTTGTGCGCTGCGGCCTGGTGAGCCAAGCTAACGGCTCCGCGTACATCGAGGCCGGAAACACCAAACTAATGTGCTGCGTTTACGGACCGCGGGAAACCGAGCGGAAAGATGAGACCGACATGAAATGTGGAAGGTTGGTTGTTTTAATACTCTATAGTAGACCTGTGTGTGTGTGTGTGTGTGTGTGATGTCACCTGTATGTGTGTTTATGATGTCACCTGTGTGTGTGTGTGTTTATGATGTTACCTGTGTGTGTTTATGATGTCACCTGTGTGTGTTTATGATGTCACCTGTGTGTGTTTA